TGGTCCGTGTGATAACTAAGAAATCTGCTTCAGCATTTCACCATATGTTGAAAGAAATAAAGCTAGTAATATGTTCAGCCAGTCGTTAAAATAACAGTAGAGGTCTACTTCTTGATAATTATATTAAGGTGGAAGTTAGAGTTCCCATTCTGTCCTTGTACATGAATATGATATTAATCTCATCTTGCGAAAAGGTGATCAAGAATCTAACTAGCTCCTACTACGGCAAAAACATTTTTTAAAATCCGGATCACAACCTTCTGGATTTTTATGCTAATGAGAGATTTCTGTCAATTATACTTTTCCGGACCTGTGCATAGCGGGAGCTTAGTGCACCGGGCTGCCCTTTTTATTTATTTATAATACATTGTGTTAAACCTATATAAACCTGACATATTCTTGATTGATCTGCAGATCCATGCCATGTCAATTGATTTCTGTCTACTGTCAGCATTTGCACCCTTCTGGATTTACAATGACATGACTGCTCGAAAGTGGTAAGCTCATACTCACACAAATGTAGTTCCCACTTCCCATCCTATGCAAAATGATATTGATCGATAACATGTGGTTATATCTCAAGGTATGACAAAGGATTTTGGCTTCTCCCCCTATCGGTGATTCCTTTACTGGGTCCAGCACTATACCTTCTCCAACGTCCATCTATTCCAACGGTACCAGTTTCATCAAGCCCAGCTTCGGCTGAAGAAAAATGATCTAAATCACTTACAGCAGGATTTGAATAGCGTGGGACATTGAGCAAAAACAAACCGACAGGTGAAACATATCTAAACTAGCAGCGCAAAAACTTCCCTCTGCTATTTGTAATGTAAATAGTTCAGCAACAGCAGTTGAACTGAAGACCATTTCTGCTGGAAATTCCAAGACTTGTTGCTCTGTCTTTTTCTTTTTCTTCTTAGTTCTTTTTTACCACCCTTGCTTTATATAAACCTTGTCACATGTATTCTTGAGATGGTAATTTTCAATTTCATGTTTATTTTAGTTTCTTTTATAGTTAAACAGTATTCACAAACACCCTCATAATCGGTACATGTTATAAATTGAGAAGTCAACTTCATCTATACTACTTTGAAAAGTCTTGGTGATAGATGTACCAGCATTTCGGCCTTTTGGTACTTTAACTTCTCATTTTCAGAATGCCCTCACATGTTAGTATCGAGTTTAAGCTCTATGCACAATATATAAAGGTAAATCTCTTAACAACCATTAATTGATAATTTGTTAAAAATGATTGCTGACCTGCTACCACAAATACTAATCAGTAGCTGATGGTTTAAATTTGTTCTCGATGTCCCCCATATATATCTATATCTATATCTATATATATATAAGTAGGAAAGTTACTATATATAATTGACATTATGGTTAAGCCAAATGGCAAGCTAATAAATGTCAATAGTATATGATAACTTTATTCTATATTTGACTATTCCAGTTAAATCTATATCTATATATCTATCTATATTATACTAGTATTAGTACTCGTGCGATGCGCGGACACAAATCATGTCGGATTGTGATTTGGATTATTTAAATTATGTATAAATAACTTTAAAATATAAACCTTCCAGATAAAATTTATAGATAATCATTAGATATTAATTAAGAAGCAAGACATGAAACCATTTCGCAAATCTCATATTGGATAACCTGTTTTCTTTTTTTATATTTATATAATCCAATAGGTTAATTTTAGTACTTGAATTTCGTTTTGTTATCAATATTAAAAATTATTAACTATGTCATGTGGTGATTTATCTCGTTTAAACATATTAAATTATATTACTTTAATAAAATTCTCAATATTAGTTTTTTTTTTTGTCTAAAGCTTAAATAAGTCTTATTCTTTTAAATTTTACACAATTTTTTTATTCCTTGCTTATAATTATTAAATTATTTATTATTTAATATTATTATACTTTCATGTGAGTTTTTCAGCTTACTAATTGACTTAATATTTTGCTTATTATCCTTTTAATAATTATCGATAAATATTATTTTTTTATTCTTGAAATTTAATATATTTTACGCTTTTATCCTCTTACTCAAAACTATTTTACTATTTAAATCTAAAAATAATATTTTGGAATATTATTCAATTATTTATTTTATTTTATTTTAAATTATTTAATATATTCTCACATTATATCTATTTTTTTCTTTATACAGTCTCTTCCCTACTAAGAAATTTTTAATTAATATTTTACCTGTAATCAAAATAATATCATATTTGACTTTAAGTTGTAACTTTGATTAGTATAAAATATTAATATATAAGTTCATTGATTATTATATTCCAAATCTATTAAGTTTTTTTATATTTATTTTTTGTATTACATGCAATAAAAAAATCTCTTTTAGTTTCAAGATACAAAATTTGAATTTTAATTTTAGTTAATAAAATTACTTACATTAGATATTTATTTTATATTTTTTAAATTTTAATTCTCATCTAGTAAGACTTTAATTTTTGGTGGCCATATCCATAGTTTGAGCATTCTCATCATAAATTTAAGAACTTTCTAATATTAAGCAAAATAGTCTTTTCCTTTCATTTCTAATATTTAATTTTTAATTATTTTTTTACTTTTGCTATTATGTTATCAAATATATGGTATTATCACAGTTTCATATGGATTTTAATTAATTTACCACTTTATTTAGTATTATTATCCATTACTATCCTTTAATATAATATAGATAAATTTAGAAATTTTTTAATCTTAAAATAAATATCTATTTTATTTTTAAAATATTGCTTGAATTCTTAAGTTTTTTAAATTTATCAATAGTATTTTTAAGTATTTTATTTTACTTTATTTTATTTTCTAAACTAATTCTTAGCATAAATATTCTCACACTATTTTTAATTTATTTTATCTGTTAGACATAAGTTGTGTGGTATTATCCACAATATCATCTTTCTTATCATAATAGATAAATAACAACTTTCTCATCCCAAATTTAAATAAGTTTTATCATTTTTCTTATGATGAAAGTTTTGATAAATGTCTCTCTATTTATTCCTTATTTTTTCTATTCTATTATTCAATACATAATATTATTACATTGTTATGTGGTTTCATTAGCTTGTTTAATTTAATGTCTATTTCTACCATACTCATTTTATTATTAATCATAAAAATTAATTTTTTATTTGTTTGAACACATTACATCTAATGATAATATTTTCACTATCATTTTATTTCTCCATGTACTATTTCTAAAAATAA